ATCTAATGCCGAGAACATGTACAATGCACTGACACAGAAAGTCAGCTGTGTTAATAGACATGCAACAAGTAACAAAACTTGCTGAAATCGCGATAATAATCATTAAAAAAATCTAAAACCAGTTATAATTGCATAAATACTTTGTACAGTTCGTTTCTCCGCCGCTCTGCTGAAACTGCATTCGATAAAAACCTGTGATTCCTCTCCGCTTACTTTTCATTGTTTTGTACAGGTGAAGGTGCAACAAAAAAGAAAAAAAGAAAAAGAAAAAGGGAAGTGTTGATTGATAGAAGCCTTTCTCAGCTGGATGGCATGATTGCACGCTGAAGTTACAGTACAGAAACGCAGAATGATATCAGGACGAGAACGTGAGTGCATATCAGCTTCTTCTTCTTCTTCTTTTATTTTGTTTTTACAACATCGAGGAGCCGCAAAGTTCTCTCCGGAAAAGTGTTTTGAGACTCTGTGAAGACGAGTGGGACTAAAAAAAAAAGACGTTTTCTGGGAAATAAAGAAAGAAAAGCAGCACTTGAATGCACATTTGTTGCCCACAGAGTCACGAACTTGGAAGAGAGAGGAGCTGAAAACACTTTGTGGGCATCAGAAGAGTTAAAAACGTGTCTCTGGTGACCAACGATTCACTCATGAAGCAACGCAAACAAACAGAAAAGCCTCTGAACGCTCCAACCTGGCTGTTTGTTTGCATTTGAAGATTTCCTTGCTTGGGGTTTTTGTCCCGATTCGTGCTGCGGTTTGGGTTTTATGAGGTGATGTTTGTACTAAATGACTCCACATAAACACAGTTTGTAGCCGTTAAAATAGGAGTTAAAGGAATAAAATGAAACAAGCTTCAAATTTGGTGCTTTTTAAATTATTTTAGATAAACCGAGGAGCTGAATTTTTCATAGAACTGGACTAACAATCAGGGTTTCTTGACTCAAACTGGACCTTTTTTTGAAAATGTGTTACTTTATCCGACAGAATTCGACCCACTTATTATTATTTTTATTTATTTATTTCATTTATCATTATTTCTTACTGCTGCTGCCTAAAACCTCTTTAAAATCGCAGGAAAAAATTGTAGTTTTTAAGCTCTGCTAACTTCACAAAAACCTGGATTATCTAAAACCAGTTTTTGAGCAAGTTTTGTTTTCAACAGTTTCAACAATA